TGCCAGGGCTTTGTTGCGCATACTGGGGTCTTGGAAGCCATGGTCTCCAAAAACAAACTTGGTTACAGCGGCTGCATGTCATGGCTTATCTCAACATTGGTCGTCGGCATTTCGTTTGCCATGCGATGCACACAGCCGCTTTACCCAAGAGGGCATCCCGAAAAATGAAACTTCACTGAAACTTCGCTCAGCAAGAAATCGGTCATGAGTTCTGGTAACTTAATGTAAGTTCCGTAGCAGCAGCCCAGCTGACCCCTGTAGACAGCACACCCTCCCCGTGCTTGCTCCGGGTTTTGGGCCCAGGGGGTTCAAGAGGACGACATGCGAAACCGGAAAGTCAGTTAAAGATGATCTTGTGCAGTGCGTCCAAGCATGCTCCCTAAAACCCTTTAGCCAGCCACCATCATGAAACCACAAGCTCCAATTGTGCACTCGGAACACCATGTGAGTTTCGGCTACCATTGATAGTCCCCCTTAAGTAGATAGAACATGGGATTGCCCAATATAATAAGATCCTTATATACCCCACAGTCCATCTACTTAAGGCGGACTATACCCTATGAAACAATCACCCTAAACCTAATCCCTAAACCCTACCATTGAGGCCTGGGGACAAGCTCGTGATTCTGGGAACCCTAAACCCTAAACCCTATATAAAACCTAAACCCTAACAGGATCCCTAGAGCTATCTTACCATGCAAGGCCAGTGGCGGAACGTAGCGTTTAGGGATTAATGTCGACCCGTGATTAATACCCCCCCCCCCTTCCGTTTAAGGGCCTGAAGTTTAGGATCCGTATTATAATCCGTATTAGTAACAAACCCTTCCCGTTAAGGGCCTTCATCTTAGGATTTCTATGCGAATCCCTATTACGGGGAAAGGGTTTATTAATCAGAGATACACTCAGGCAACTACCCAAGACTTCCAGAACCCCTTGCAAGGATTAGGAACCTAAGTCTAAATTAGGTTTAGGGTTTAGGATTTAGGGCTCAGGGTTTAGGCTTTAAAGGGTTTAGGGTTTAGGGTTACGGGGTTTAGGGTTCAGGGTTTAGGGTTTAGGGCATTCATGAAAGTTTCTTGGGGGGAGTTGCAACCCTAAGGGTCCAGATACCGGAATGGGACTTTGGCCCCGCAAACATCCTAGTTAGGCTACTTCGACTTCATTGACGTAGAATTCTAGGTCTGCTCCTCCCGTCACCAATGCCACCCTAAACCCTAAAATCCAATCCTGAACCCTAAAATTCAAACCTCTAACCCTAACCCTTCCACCCTGAAACCTGAAACCTAAACCCTAGACCCTTTCTGGGTGTACCTAACTTTCTGCCTAAACCCCAAACCCTAAACCATCACCCCAATATATGCCCAATATAACCGTAATATATTATTCCCCTAAACCCCTATGTTCCTAAAACCCTAAACCCCTAAACCCCACTCCTCACAACACCACCACCTCGCGACGACGCGCAGGGGCTGCAAAGCGCATCGCTGCCTTGCTTGTGGTCCGGGTCAACCTTTAACCCTTGGGAATTTAGGGTCTAGGGATTAGGGTTTAAGGAATAGGGAATGTAGGGTTTAGGGTTTAGGGATTAGGGAATTTAGGGTTTAGGGAATTTAGGGTTTAGGGCTTAGAAAACTTAGGGTTTAGGGATTAGGGAATTTAGGGTTTAGGGTTCAGGGATTAGGGAATTTAGGGTGTAGGGTTTAGGGAATTTAGGTTTTAGGGATTAGGGAATTTAGGGTTTAGGGATTAGGGTTCAGGGTTTAGGATCGAAGGTTTAGGATATGTACAGGTCCCTTTTCACAGGTAAAACAATACAGGGATATACTCGGTTCGGGCTTGAGAACGGAGAACTAAATGGATAAGCAAATGGAAAGCCATATGGACAATTAGGATGTTACCGGATGTATAGGGCTCGGGGGACTTGAAACTAGGTAGGTGCATTCGGAAGCACGAGAGTTCCTGTGGATGAAGGAAATCTTGGCACCACCTTATATGCCCTATGCCCCAAAAAGTCACGGTGCACTGGGGATGTAAGCCGTCCCTGATCCACTGTATCAATGAAGTAATTATAGGAGACTACAGGAAGCGATTTAAGGGCCTGGTTCTAACTCGTGCTTTTCCCTACCTAAACCCTAAACCAGTGGATGGGGATTTCCACACATGGGACCGCCCGTGCATAGTCCAAAGCACTAGAATCCTTACACTAAACCCTAATCCCTATACCCTAACTAAACCCTAAACCTTCTTATGGGGGATTCTGGAACGGGACCCAATGTTTTTGCACTCCTAGCTGGTACCCCGGCGATCTTCTGCACTTCGTCATGAGAGGAACTCAAGTTCCAAAAGCAGACAACACAAAGAGTTTACTTACCAGTGCAAAATGTAAGCCTCGAAGTAGAACTAAAACCCAATTGAGCAGCACATTTGGGGGATTGCACTAAGTAAGCTTATTATGTTCCTCCCATGATGCACTATCCCCCTCAAATTTTAACAACTGTTCCTTAAAGCCCAAGCCCAACATCAATCCCTAATCCTAAACCATAAACCCATTTCACAGACTGTTTCCTAAACGCGGAACCCTAAACCCTAAACCCTAAACCCTGCAGCCCTAAACTCATGAGGCCCCACACCTTAACCCCTCAAACCCTAAACCCTAAAACTCTAAGGCCCTAAACCCTAAACTCTCAAACCCCAAAGCCCTACATTCCTCCTGAAATAGGTAGAATGTGGCTTTGGGTATTTTATAATAAGATCTACATATACCCCATATTCTATCTACTTAAGGGGGACTATAAACCCTCGTGTTTTTGTTTTATGTCCTAGCTGCCCCGTTCTGCGAAAGGGCTGCAGCCACAACCTGCAACCAGACGAGTGTGCTGTTCATTGTTTAGGGTGCTTGGGGCTAAACCCTAAACCCTAAACCCTGTGCAGGGTGTTTAGGGTTTGGGTTGTCTAGAGTGTTTAGAGTTCAGGGCTTAGGGTCTCGGGCGTACAGGGTTTAGGGTGTTTAGGGTGTCAAATTGTTTAAGGTGTCTAGGGTTTACGGTTTAGGTGAAGGTTTAGGGGTTAGGTTGTTCAGGGTGTTTAAGGTTTAAGTCGTTTAGGGTGCTTAGGGTTTAGGTGCTTGGTGGTTGAACCCAGCAAGGTTATTCTTTCGGGCCCAAAAAAGATGACGCAACAGCCAAAAAGAGGATGTTGTCTTAATCTGTACTGGGGTTTATAGTATCATGAACGAAATGCTACACAACCCTTACACAACCGCAGTTTCAATCTAAGTTTCCGTCTGGTTCTCTATTATCCCGCATTCAAACCACAACAATCACTACATAGACATAATACCACCCAAAAGCAAAATACGAGTCAAGTGATGCTTGCAAGACTGGGGTCCTACCCAATAAAATGGTGCTAGTTTTGCAGGTGATCACGTGGAGGTGAACGCAGGTTTTATGGTTCAGGTTTTAGGTATTACCCTCATAATCCCTAAACCCTTAACCCCTGAACCTATTACAGTAGCTCTATTCCTCCGCCTCTTCTGCTTTACATCCAGGTACCGGGATTCCCAAGCTCAACTCTTAGCCCAAATCAAGGGTTTAGGCTTTAGGGTTCAATGGCAATAACGAAAAAGGAGCCACGTGACAACGATGTCGCAATGTCCAGCAACAAAAAGAACAATGTACGCTGAGGTGGGAAGAATACTCATCATCACAACCTCAAAAGACAACAAAACAAGATTAAATTCCAGAAATAGAGGGTGGGGTTATATTGGGATAATGCAAAAGAAAATGGAAACTACTATGATGGAGCTATGTAGGGTTTAGGGTTTATGGGCCCCATTGGCGGCGCCAATCTGCTGTCATGCCGTCAATGTCACGACTATGCTCAGCAACAAATCAAATGGCTATTCAAATGTTTCAATGACCTGGCACTGTCATGAAATGTTTATATCCTCCCGCAAGCTTGACCTGCTGTGTGCGGTTTACGCAGCACAGGCATGCCTCAGAGTCTATCGTTGCAGTCCATTGAGCTGGGAACCCCGGTTTTTCCAGAAGGCTTCTCCTTCCATACTCTTAAATCTCGTAAACTCGGGTGCGAGGACTCTGAAAAAGCAACCTCCTGATCTTGGATCCCCCACATCCTTCCATTGATAAATTCGGGCATAAGCGCAGACCCAGAGCTAAAGTCAAACGGATGCAGGAAAACCCTCCCACCACTTGCGCCCGCGTCGACAAAGGACTAAAAACATAGGATGCCCTTGAAGAGACGCCAGCCATAAAGTGCATGTATGGGTACATATGCAAACCCCGTCTAATTCGTCAAGTTGTTGAAGCCTCCATAGAAAGATCATCTTCATAAAAAAAGGGCTGTATCTAGGAGGATCACACTTTTTGTCACCACGCCTCGAGGGTCAATGTAGGTAAAACGTATATGCTAATAGTATATACTGTTCACCAATATGGTAGTTCCCAACAATGAGGGGCCCCAAGTAGAGACCCTCAAATATTCTTTTCCTCAAGGGCCCTAAACCCTAAACCCTAAACCCTAAGCCCTAAACCCTAAACCCTAAACCCAGGAAACCCTCCGCATGGACCACTTGGGATGAAGCCTTTTATTGCGAACCCAGCGCCTTGCTGGACCTTTGGGGGGTCTTAGGCTCTAGAATTTTAGTGGTTCAGGGGTTTAGGGTTTAGGCTTTCAGGGTTTGGTGTGGTTCAGGGTTTAGGGTTTAGGCTTTCAGCGTTTAGTGTGGTTCAGGGTTTAGGATTTAGGCTTTTAGGGTGTTAGGGTTTAGGGTGGTTCAGGGTTTAGGCTTTCAGGGTTTGGGGTGGGTCATCATCACATCTGGCACAGCAGCCTTAAGCTGGCTGACTTCAGACGTGCCATGTTTGCAGCATGCTATGCAACCTGGACGAGCAGCATCAACTTCAAAATGCATGCGCGCCTCGATGAAGGGATAGGTTGAAATCCGAAAATCTGGAGTAAGTGTTGCTCAGGTCCTGGCATCATGCATCCGCACCGTATACAACTGGCCCAGGCAGTACCGGCAGTGAGTGGTGAGACTGCTGTTGCGTCAGCTCTAATCGTCGGCGCTGCATGAGGACCATCAGCCAAATCCCGCCAGCCACAAGAACTGAGCCTCCAACAAACATGGGAGCTGGCAACAAATTTTGCAGGAACTGTCCACCAATCGACGCGATTGTCAAGACCAGCGATACCATCAACGTTTTGATGGGATCCAACCACATGGGTTGCAGTGGCTTGCGGACGTGTTGTGCAAATAACAGCGTCAGTGCGAAAATGCTCGGAAGTGTGAACAGCCACCAAGTTAGCCCGTAAACTGTCAAAACTGCTGCGCTGTCCCAGCGACTAGCGCGTGCGCGAGGGGCTATAGCATCAATGAACCCCCACAGCAAGGGTGATGAACCCATTAGCAACCATTGGTAGGGAAACAATAGCCCTCCCAACTGTCGGTAGAGCGTGGCCCTCACATCCGATCTCACGATCTCCTCAAACTTTTGAACGGATCCAAACCAGCGCTTCACGCACTCAGTAACTACGTCACGGTCACAGATCATACTGGTGCCGTCGGCTGCTGTGTGACCCACATCACAACACTTGCACTGGGTGTGTTCGACAGTGAAAGCCTGAAGTTGCTCCAACATGCGTTCTGTGTCGCGATAATGAGTTCGCAGCACGGCAGCCGCAATATAGAAGCCCATCCATCGCAGCAAGAACAACAAGGAAACACTTAACACATTCAGCGACTCTGCGAAAATGAGGGTCACAAAGCTGATCCACATGCCCAAGCTCACGCTCAAAACGCAAGGTGCTAAAGCACTTGGCCTCACGTACAGCTGTCTCTCTGAAGATGGGTGACTCGTCAAATATGCACCAAGCTCTATCACGCACCATAATCGGTGCACGTACGTGGTATCCCACACAAGGACAAAACTGTCAGAATGCTTCAAAAAAGCTCCAATGCTTGCCAGAGCTTGCCCCTTTAGGCGCTGGTCCGTCTGGTTGATGCACACTTGATCCAAAAAGACCAGGCGGTGAGATCGCCACAAAAAAAGAGTCACTGAAAATACAAACCTGCTGATGCCTTATTAAAAGTCACCCAAATTATTTTGTGAATAGTTTCTCTTATACAACAAAACAAGAAAACAACAAGATACACTGCCACCTAGAAACGCTGCACAAAGCGACGACCAGGCCGAGAAGACCATCAGAACACCAGAGTCCGCTGTTCCCTTTGGATAGTTTTCCTGGCAGGGCTTACAAGTAGGAGCCCCCTAGTTAGGCCCTAGTTCTGAGCTGGGCTATAAGCTACGGTAAATATGGTTATACCTGCCATAAATCGTAATTATAGGATTTTTAAATGTAGTTATGTAATTAGGGGGCCCTCCTTGCAAGCGTGAAGGCTTTTGATTAGGTTTTCAAATGCAGGGAACCAAAGCGAGAAGCGGATAATAGAGGTGGGAAAATGGAAAATAACATGGAAACTACTATGTCAATGAACACATGTCCTAAACCCTAAACCCTAAACCCGAAACCCTAAAACACTCATGAACATGTGTGTGGCTCAATCCCAGGCAACAGCTCCCAGGTGTGCAGCAACCACGCTACCATAGCTGCCAGAATGCTTGCCTCTATTCCCGAATAACCAGGGCTAAACAAGTTTAAACGTTAATATCAAGACCCAAAAAGGAATCCCAAGCAGGTTAAAGTTCTTCTGTTGGCTAAGTAAGTTGCGATCACTGCAGGAGGACCGTTGTACATCAAGAGCAGCAACCTGGGTTGCTGATAAGGAATTCAAACTAGGGGTTTACTGCTATATTATCCCCTTATAATGGAGAATCAAATGGACAATGAAATGGAAAGTGGGGGAATATGGGGATTAAAGGAACGTAAAGTCGCTGAGGTTGTGCAGCTTCAGGGCGTTTGGAACCCAAACCCTCTCTACTCGCTTTGCACACCCCCCCCCCTCCCCCCTCCCCCCTTCCTCCACCCCTGCCCCCTTCTCCTGAGGTTTAGGTGTTGGGGGGGTTGGGAGGCGTACACCCTAAACCTCGGGGTGGGTGCCTTTGGGGCGCACGGGATGCAAAAGGATCAGCAAGTCCAAGCTCCTGGGCCGGGGCCCTATAAAAACATCAAATTTCTTTGGCTTTATAAGGATGAGGAAGGGGATTAAGTGCAGTAAAAGTTCAATAGTATTTTCAAACCTACCCCACTTAGGGAGTTGAGGGGCTCAGGGATTCTTTACGGCGTATTTTGAGAATCCACCCTTCTTCAACAGGAAATTATTCCTTACCGCCCCTGCATGACATGAACATATCTGCGCAGGCAGGATTTCTGATGAGGATCCGACAGGCAGGCAAGTGCAAGTCTGGGCTGGGTTTGGCTCGAGGCTTTTTGTGCTTACTGAGATTGAGCCTTGGCTGGAGGCCTTCGAGCCTCGGAGCAATTGGACCTGTCCAGACTAAACGGGGTTTGGGTTTGGGTCTGGCTGGAGGCCTCTTGTTTTCTTGAGATGGAGCCTTGGCTGGATGCCTCCAGTCCTGAACAAATGGACCTGTCTGGACCAGGCGGGTGCAAGTTTGGGCTGGGTCTGGCTCGAAGCTTTTTGTTTCTTGGCTGTTTGAGGCCGTGAAGGTTTAAGAGGGCCGTCCTCAGAGCTGCGAGGCCCTGGACACTCGTCAGAATCATTGGGGAACAGATTCAATGCTTGGGGCCCGGGGGCCTAAGACTGGAGAGGTTGTGGGAAGTTTGGGAGGGCCTGGCTGGGGCCCAACGAAAATCCCTGCAACAGACAGAGCCTTTGAGGTGCATGGATAGGGTCTTGCCCTCAAAGAACGTTGAGAAGCTCTGGACGGCCCTACGAGGCCCTGGGATGCCCTGACTGCAGCGATCCTGGGAGGCTCATCCGAAAAACTCAAAACAGGGACGCAGTGCTCTTGAGATACCGATCTAAGGGCGACCTGACGGGTTTCTTGCCAGTGGCCTGCCAGGCCTACCGCTCAGCCCACAACTGCCTGTGGGACTGGGAGCTCTGTCGCTTTGCTTTTAGGAGTTCAAGCAAATAATAAACCTCCCAACAGTAAAACAGATAGCTCTTCTCACCCGCTTTGTGGATGATGTGAAGGAAACACGAGATGCTGTATACTAAGGATTCTGCTACGTGGCACGTCTGCCTTCTGGCACTGTGTATGTCGACCGCCTTCTGCTTTGGTCAGGAAAAAATTCAGGATCGGAGAGTAGCGTCGAATTGCACTTGGGGACATACAGTTTCCGACCCTGAAACTCCGGTTCTACGGTTGCGGCTCTCGAAGCTTGCGAACTCCCTCACTAGAGGCTGATGACGTGAGCCCAGCCAGCCCCCTGCCTGAATGTTGGAACAGGCATGCAAGAAACACGTCTGAAGTGAGGTTTGCCTCCGTTACTCCCTCGACCCTAAACCCCACGTGCCAACTACATACTATGACCCATTCGTGTGCTCGGCACCCCGCGAGCCGAGGCGGGCGCGCGATAGCGTTTATAGTTAAGTTACCGTAATGGGTGCGTATATGTATATATATATATGTAGTTTTCAATGTGGTTTCCCAAATAAGGAAACTTAAACGAGGTTCCTTACAGCAAAGCAACAGTATCTTCGACGTCTGGTTGCCATGCCAGCTGTGGCTCCAAAAGTCTTGAATTGATCTGACCGTGACGCTGTGCCTTAGCTGCTCCTCAAATGCTTCTCAGGAAACATGCTTCCACGCATGCCCAGTTCTACTGTAGCTTTCAAGCCAGCAGCACCACTTGCATCCATGCAGATCCGCTCTGCATCAGAACTCAAGCTTTGCAAGCTATGGCTACTGCTCTCCCTGCTTCAGCCCTAAAACATTCGTACCGCCAGTCTCGTTGCCGGAATCAAGAAACTACTGCTCACTTCATGGCCATAAGTGGTCATGTCTATAGTCCCCCTTAAGTAGATAGAACGTAGGGTATATGTGGATCTTATTACAATATATCCAAAGCCATATTCTATCTCCGGAAGGGAGACCACAATTGGTGCAGCCTGGAATGCTCATGGAGCTGGGCATCAGGAGCACTTTGCAAAGCCCGAGCGCCACACTGCAAGGCAGCTGCTGCAGTACATGCTCGGAGGACTGCAGGGTCAACCTGGGGTGAAGTTAAGGCTTAGGGCTAAGGAACTTGATTTAAGTTACTATCTGGGGTATACTGGGTTCAGGTTTTAGGGTTAAGGAACTTTGTTTAAGTTACTTTATGGGGAAACCTATTAACTACTCTATATATATATATAACTTAATGTAAATTCCTTAACAGCAACCCAGCAACAGGTTCCATCTTGGCGAGGACATCAGCCAGCCGCAGGATCAGCTCTTGTTTCCGGTCACTTTGTGGCTGTGGCTGCTGTTGCTCTAACTGGATACGCTCTTGTGGTACTGCGTCGTCTGCCATGGCACCAGTGATCAGCAAGCAGAGCTAGAATCTTTCAGTAACAGCTCCCAAAAAGACGCCCCTAATTTTTCGGAAGCCCGCATGAAGCTCCATGTCTCTAGTCACAATACACCTGAATACGTAGGGCTAGCTTGCGCAGCCCCCAAAATGGGGCCGGAACTCGAGCAAACTGCTTTACAAATTGAGGCAGCAGAACAACAGCCAAGAGTAACATAATGCAATACTCACTGAGCCCTCGACTATGTCAGAACAATGACTGTGCCTGCATGATGCTGGTGCTGGTGCTGATGCTGCATGGTGCTGGTGCTGATGCGCGGCGTGAGCGCGGGTGCAGGTGCTGGTGCTGGCGGTGGTGGCGGTGGAGATGGTGGTGGGGGTAGCGGTGGTGGTGGGTGGTGGCAGTGGGCGGCGGACGGTGGCGGCGGTGCTGGTAGTAGCGACATCAGTACTAGTAGGAGGAAGAGGAAGGTAAAATGACCAGAAACTGACAACACGAACAGAAAAACCATGATATGGGTGGTTCCCAAAATTAGGGTCCCATTTTGGTACCCCTAAATATTAGGTGCCGTAATATAACCTATAACCAAAAGGGGCCCACATTTTTTAGGAACTACCCATATACATTTCCAGGTACCTCCCTGTCCGCTTGAAGCGCTTGAGAAGTATACCTGAGCCAAACAGGGCTGAGAGTTTTGGGGAACGGGGTTGGTAAGATTATATCTGGTCCTCACAATTTCATGCCAGTTAGGTTTGGTCTTGGTTTTGAGCAAGGGCTCTTCTTAGGACACCCCCAAGAGGTTCATTGGACGGCCTAAGCAAAATCCAGGGTCAAAGATCTTTGCATCTGCAGACTTGGGCCAGGGCTGTCACGTCAGGTCCAGGTATCAAGGTTCGTAAATTCCGGGTCTCGGGCCAGGATATGAGCTGTCGTCTAAACTCCGTAAAGAGTGCTTAGAGGGTCCAAGGGCCCAAAGATTGGATTTGAGGCCCCACGCACTGCTGGACCTTTAGGGGGAAACATCATCCCAGACCCCCAAAGGGATCCAAAAATTTGATCCCCGAGAACAACATGAAATACAAGGATTATATGGGGGTTATAATGGGTCTATATAGGGGATCTAATTTTCAGATCCTCCCAGGGGTTTGGGATGTGAGTCTCAACTGGAGATTTCCCTTGTGGCCTCCAAGTCCCTGCAGGGTCCAGATGCTGTGAAGCTCGCATATATGTTCTATCTCTTCCGACATGGTCTGCGCAGAAACCTCAAAGTCTCCCGGAGAAAGGAATCTAGCCTAAAAACCTAAGGTCAAAAAGATTGCTGATGATGACCTAACGTATGTTCTTCCATTTCGGGTCCAGCAGATGCCAAGTAACTGGAGGAGACTCCCCATCTGTCGAACAGCCTGTGGAAGAGTCCATGCGCCAGGAAGAGGCTGGTTTCAGGGCTCAGAGTTTCTGACCTAAACCCTAAACCCCTCAACCCCTAAACCCCTGAACCCAGGGTCCAGAGTCAGAGTTTTAGCAGTCACCCACTGCCTTGTACTACCCCCCCCCCTCCCCGCCTCCCTAAAACCTAAACCCTAAACATGTGACGCATAATCTAAACTCCTTAGAAGGGGTTATGTAGGGAATTATATATGGGACTATTATAGGCGTCGTCGAGCTAAATAGGGTTTAGGGTTTAGGGTCTAAGGTTTAGGGTTTAGGGTAAAAATACTGCATGACCCTACTTACCCTAAACCTTGAACATTCTGGGAACTCAGTACGTGGGAGTGGCTCAAAACGATC